ATAGACGATTCGACATTCTGCACAATGAACGACGACGCACTCACCAGGACTGGTCTGATAAACAGCATATCATGGCGACCTATTTTGACTTTGGCATCAAACCATCTGCCCATAGTCATCTCGATCGATAAACCCACCGACTTTGCTTTGCTGAAAACAGTTTCGCTGCTCTCCCCACACCAACCGACGTCCACCTTGGTAAACGTAAGTTCCGCAGGGCTATCACCGCTGCTGCAGCTCGCTTCGTACAGGCAGGATGCATCACGGACCCACGTCCAAATTTCCCTGCCGAAGCGGATGTTCTAGCCGATGAACGTGACAGCCTTCGTCAGGCGGATCCTGGAGATCCCCGTATCAGGGTTCTCAACGCTGAGATTCGGCAACTAGTGAACGTACATAAGCGGAAGAAGTNAGAGATCCCCGTATCAGGGTTCTCAACGCGGAGATTCGGCAACTAGTGAACGTACATAAGCGGAAGAAGTGGGAAGAGCATCTGAAGACCTGTAACTTGACCTCTGGTGTGAGTAAGCCTATGTCAACCGTGAGGTCACTGTCCAATCCGACGAGAGAGTCGAAATTTCTTTCTTCGACCATGCTTCGCCGGACCCGGAGCGATGCGTGAGCTATTTTAGCCGGCNTTGTCCAATCCGACGAGAGAGTCGAAATTTCTTTCGGCGACCATGCTTCGCCGGACCCGGAGCGATGCGTGAGCTATTTTAGCCGGCAGTCAAGCGTCGAGTGACCAGAAGGCTGCACAAACTGCCAACAACATGTGCCTCCCTTGCTTTCACTGACGGTGAAGTTCAGGTGGCCATCGTGAAGGCGAAAGCCGCTAAAGCCATGGTTCCCGACGGAATATGCATGCTGATGCTATAAAATTTGGGTCCTGCGGGAGTAGCGTACATAACGGAGGTCCTCAATTTGTCAGTGGCCACTCTCATCATCCCAGCCATCTGGAAGGTGTGAAGAGATTGGTCCTACTGCTCAAACCGGGGAAACCCGCCAACAAAGGAGATTCGTATCGACCGATAACACTCCTTTCCCCGGTAGCGAAGATACTTGAGGCCTTGCAGGTCCCGTGTTTCACGAACCACCTGACCCCAGCGAAGCATCAGCATGGTACATGCACAGTACAACAACAGCACTTAACGCCATAAACACTCAGATAACTCGTGGCCTTAACCGTAACCGTCCCTGTGAGAGAACGATTCTAGTAGCGTTGGACTTGTCAAAGGCGTTTGACACCGTCTGCCATTCCACNTTGTCAAAGGCGTTTGACACCGTCAGCCATTCCACACTACTACAAGATATAGAGGCTTCCTCTCTCCCACAGAGGCTCAAACGGTGGTCGGCAAATTATCTGAGTGGTCGAACTCGTCCGTAACGTTTACAGACAAATCAAGCAAACTAAGGAAAATAAAACAGGGGGTTCCACAGGGTGGTGTCCTTTCCCCGCTACTGTTCAACTTTTATATTTCAAAGCTCCCTCAACCACCATCGATAATCTCGATTATCTCTTACGCCGACGATTGCTCGATCAATGCGACTGGGAATGGAATTGATGACTTGTGTTCGAAAGGAAACGGGTATCTCTCCGAGCTTTCTCGCTTCTTCACTGCAAAGTGTCTAGCCCTCTCACCTACGAAATCCTCTGCGACCTTGTTCACCACCTGGACGAAGGTCAGGCTACCGCTGGGAATTCACTTCGATGATACACCAATTCCGACGGTGAATAACCCCAAAATACTCTGAGTAACATTCGACAGCCTGCTCTCCTTCTCTGCCGGCCGGTCGGTTTTAAACTACGCAGCACCAGTGTGGTCGCCGGGGACCTGGAGGGGCAAGGAGCATAACAATGCTCTGCAAGCAGTTTCTGGTTGGGAGCCACAGATGTGGCCACCCAAACTGACAGCTGCTCGCAGAAGAGCCCTCGCCTAGACTCGTCAGGAGGCATCTATACGAACTGACGGACGAAGTCCAGAGGTTCATTAAGCAGCCTCTGGACCCGCCAGCATACCGACAGGCCCTGAACGGCATTCACAGGGACTCTAGGCCTGTGAATGCCGTTCTAAGCACACAACCACCGGACATTGACGACGGAGCTTCATCTGCCTCGGACCACAAGAACCACAATAGCCCAACTTCCCTCTGGCTACTGCAGCAGGTTGAACTCATACCTGAGCAGACTAAACTCGGATGTCGGAAAACCCGACAACCCTAACGACTTTGTCCCTGTGGACCGACCCTGTGGAGGCTGCGCGCTTCTTAGGGCTGCCGTTAGTGGAACTTGACGACAACGACTGAGATATCAACCGATCTGGGCGGGGTTGTTGTAGCCGCTACAACAACAAGCCCCATATCTATCTATCTATAGTAACATGGCTGACGATGACCGTATCGTCACTTTTACTGACTGACTGATTAGGGCGGCTATCGAGTTCAACACCGGACAGGAAGACCAACGTAACTGTGGTGTCTGCGTTGAGCTGCGCAGGTGGACTGGGGTAGCCGTGGAGGCTGCTCTATTTGAGCAGCAGGGGCCAGAAAATATATGGTCCACTGCCGATGTGTCCGTAGTCCTGAGCAGACTGTGAGGTGGTTCCACCCCTCGCAAGCATTGCACTTGACTGAGGTGGAGTTGCGGTGTAGTCTCTGGCATACCCAGCAGGTGTAGGTTTATGGCCCTGGGTTTGACTAGAAGCCAGCCCTGAGGAGAAGTATACGTAACAAATGTAGCCCTATGGACGACCAACTTCTGAGATACTTCGCCGACCTAAACGGGGTTAGATCGCCGAAACAACAGCCCTTGGTCGAGTAAAACCCGACTCATTCCGTACGTAGAACCGGATGTCGTGGGAATGAGGTTCATCTGCCTCGGGAGACAAGAACCACAATAGCCCAACTTCGATCTGGCTACTGCAGCAGGTTAAACTCATACCTGAGCAGACTAAACGCCCAACAACCTTAACGCCTATGTCCCTGTGGACCGACCCTATTGAGGCTGCACGCTTCTTAGGGCTGCCGTAAGTGGAACTTGACAACAACTGAGATATTAACCGATCTTGGCGGGGTGGTTGTAGCCGCTACAACAACAACAACAACAACCAAGGTAACTTACGTTCCTACGACAGTCGGGTCTACGTAACAAAAGGACCCAGGTTAATATCTGCCCAAGGACTGTCACTTCACCATCATTCCCCAAAACCTTACAACAACAAAAGTTACAACAAGCAACGTAACTTAAGATCCGCTCTGGCCTTAAGACTCATGTGCCCTGGGGCATCTATTCGACCTCTACAGGTAGAAGCGCAAGTCCCCCCCATACTGATTGTGTTTTCTTTGCCTGGTGTGGGGCAATGGGCTTGTGATGTCGCCTGATCATCACTTACATAGCGGAGCTCAACCAGCCATTCCTGGGAGGTGGTCTCATAGCTATTAAAGACCATGTTCAGCCACACGTATGCCATCCACTGAACCAGACGGACTAAAGGCCGGCACAATTTTAGATGCTTCAACTCTAGCTTATTCAGAATATAACATGGTCTGGTATAATCAAAGTCCAATATATAAGATATCAAACACGACACTGGTCACCTATTCCCACGACTACTTAAACCATCTCATCTAAATGGCCTCTCCTCATTGTCCAATCCTTTCAAAAATTTCAGTCTCCTGGGCCTGTCATTAGAAAAGCTTGACGACAACACACACCTCTTGACAGAAATAGAAAACCTCGAAATGTATACATATATGCATTCCGCGGACTTGGCGTTCAATTTGTCCAATGGGAAATAATAATGTAACCGTAATCGATGTCAATGATCACAAATACATATGTTATTGGTTTTACTAGATTTAGTTTAGGAACTTTAGAATCAGGGCTTTAAAAGTATTGAGTATATTGATATCACATCGATAAACACTTGAGCAAGGGTATTGACTAAACAACATTAATCATGCCGATAATTGTGTCGGTCATTATATAAATATCGTCAAACACAAGAAATCCTTTTGTGCTTTTTGACTCAAATCTGATTAAAAACATAGTATACTTTAGTAAAATTTTCTACTGTGCTATTCTAAAGGTTTCAATTTTTGCCGAATTATTTAACGAGATGTTAATGCGCGATTTCGGCTTCAATATCTACAAAGAGATGTACCTTTATAACGATGAAAAAGCCGATGCGGCAAAAGATAAAAATGATGATGAAACCAACAGTGGAAATAAAACAGAAGATGGTCAAGCCATGGAAGTCGATGAAGAGTCTAAAGCAACCACAGATGTAAAACCCAACGCTGATGGTATCGCAGAAAAATCGGTATCGGAGCGTAGAGCTTCAAAACGTAGTGTTGATGTTGAAGCCGATACCGAAACGCCATCTAAAAATACGAATGACCGCAAACACAAGTCCACAGCAGCCACTAACGGCAAGGAAAGGGAGAGGGACCGTGAAAGAGAACATGCTTCTGACAAAAAAATGATTGTTGTGAAGCCACATCTTTTACTGTCTTTTATTTATTTCGACACTACTCATTGTGGTTACATATTTGAAAAGGATTTGGAGGATTTATTCACCGTTTTGGGTTTAAATTTATCGCGTGGCCAGATACGCAAGATGCTTGGCAAACTCTCTATACGACAGGCATTTTATTACCGGTAATATGCTTAGATAAACACAAAATATTCCTTTATATTCAATGAATTGTTAATTTCAGAAAACTCACCGAAAAGGAGGAATCTAAAGAGGCACCACCCAAAATTGAGGACGAAGACGATATACCCAGCGAGGAGTTAAAGAAAATCGCTCTGGGAAACAACGTCTATTTACCACTTGAAAATGAGCCAAGCACCAGCGGAAGAATTGTAGAAAATGCTACCGCTTCCAAAATCGATACAGATGATGACGGTAGTTATATGATTTTATAAATTTGTTGGATATTTCCATTCAAGTTTGCCGTTAATTTTCAGGTCTCGTCAATTATAATGGAATTGTTATCCACGTTGGCAAACTATTGGAACAAATCAAGCGCACCGAAAAGAACTATGGCGACTTGGAAAAATTGTACAATGATCTCCGAAAACAGCACACTGACTTGCAGAGAGATCATAACAAGTCTAGCAACAAAGTCAAAGACTTGCAGTCCGAGGTTAAAAGTTTGAGTCGGAAACTTTCCGATACAGATCAAGATTTATTCGCGTTGAACGTAAGTACTTATAATTGAATATTTTTCCTTTAACCGGATAGTAATTTCCAACCTAATTGCAGCGTAAATATAGGGATCAACACGGTACACTATCCGCCATTTACCATCGTGTAGCACCCTACTTTAGAAGTGAAAAAGACAAGGATCATAAATCAGATAAGGACGGAGAAAAGGATGCAAAAGATAAAACTAAAGATAATGACAAGTCAGGCAAAGATAAGGAGAAGGAGAAGGATAAGGATAAGGATAAGGATAAGGACAAAGAAAAGGAGAAGGGCAAAGATAAGGAGAAGATTAAGGAATCTGGCAAAAATGTTGAAAAGAAAACTGAAGGCAGCGATGCCAAGGATAACAACGAAGAAAACGAAGCCGCTGCTGAAGAAGAGGAAACTGCAATAGCAGTAGAAGAGCAGAATGACCACGATGAAGAAGAGGAGCCAGAGGAAGAGGTTGAGGAAGAAGAAGAAACAAATGAAGATTAGGAATGCATTTATTTTAGGAGTTGAGCTGGATTTTTCCGTGGACACATAAACATTTTATTAATATTGGCAATTATTACCCTATGACTGCATAAGTTATTTTTAATCACTATTTACGTAACTATCCTTTGGAATACATGTAAGTGCATTGTGAATTAAATGCATACATACGATAATGATATTCAATGGATTTGTAAAAGTATGTAGTTTCAAATAAAGAGCTGCAACGGCTAGACTACGAATTCCTTATTTATAAATTCGAAAACCAAATACATTAACTTGTAAAATAAACTTTTAAAATATTGTGGGAAACGTCCGAAACCTAATCCACACTCCGATATTCATTTAGTTAATGAATTGACGCGTCGTTCCTAAATTGTTGGCCCTTAACCGTAAAAAGGAAGTTAATTAATAATGAAATATTTAATTATTTTCTAATTGCACATTTTTGGGTTACACGGAGACATACATTCATATAAGGCCATTCGAGCCAGAGGAGCCTATCTACAAAAAAAAAACTTCTTTTTAGTAATAATATTTTAAAGGAGGATCTATAAATAATAAATACGGTCATTTACTGATGAAAGGTTCATTGACCTATGCGTCCGACAAATTATAGCAAAATAAACCTAACCTTCGATTATAGTAATGCATTTTGAGCTGTACCTCTGGTTCTCAAGGCCTCACGTGTACATAGTATGTACATACATAACGCACCCTAAATCAAAAACAGTCACAATTCAAAGTCAATGTTTTTATTTACGACATAATTCAGTAAACGACTGTCGATGCGAACGACTTACGACTACCATAATAGCGGTGAATGAATGTTTCCACGTCGTTACTGTCTTAATTTGAAAATGGAGGATTGCATTATATATTACCGATAAATGTCGATAACGGCAACGATGATGCCCAATTATCATTTTTATTCCGTTTTAACGTCAACGCCAATAGGAACAGGGCCGAGTGCCTCCGCTTAGGACGGCCCCGGGAAAACTTTTAACGGACTATGATTTGAGGCTATGCACTTGGAATGTCTGGACTCCTCTTAATGGGGAATGCGCCTCCACGGATGGTTGATGTCCTTGTGAAGACTATCAACCCAATTCTGAATACTCCCGGGGAGTTTGTTCTCCGGGGATTTGTTTCTCCCGGGAAAGAAATCCTCTAATAATTAACTCCCAGGGAGTAGCATTTTCCTCGAGAATTTGGGAGGAAATTCGAACTTCGAAGGAGCTGTTTCTTGACAGCTCAACTCCGCCATTTAAAGTAAAAAATCCTCTTGAGAATTGGGGAAGACTAAAAGCATGATTATGACAACTTAACTTAACTTATGATTATGGTTATGGTTCCGTGCGCAGAAGTGGAAAACTTTTGACTACCGTTCACCTGGTAGTGGCCAGAAGCGATTCTTGTGCGTACGGTTGAAATCGCAGCTCACAACGTCCAGATAATCCACGTATCCTCTGGGTAGCAACCAAACACCCATTTGGGAGCGAGCTAAAGTGAGAAGGCGTAAAACTTCGTGTGCGCTGGGTTTGGGTTCCGCCACGGTAAAACCCCGCCCAATGAAAGAGAAAAAACTGTCGGAAAATTCAGCCTCCACGACGAAACGTCCGATAACGGACTGAGGCTGATCGACTTCGCCGGGGCCCGAAACATGGTAATATGTAGTACTAGGTTCCAGCATAAGAAATCCACCAAGCTACATGGCTATCTCCAGATCGAAAAACGAGAAACCAAATCGATCATGTTGTGATAGACGGAAGGCATGCTTCAAGCGTTTTAGATGTACGTACACTCCGAGGGCCAAACATCGACTCGGACCACTATCTTGTTGTAGCCAAGATACGCACCCGCCTCTGTGCAGCAAAAAATGTGCGCCCAACAATGCAAGGAAAGCTCAACATCAGATTAAAGAAATCACACGAAAGGGAGTCCCCTTGTCTGAAACCTCGTTTGGTATCAAACGGCTCGGAAAGGTCCTTCCCTATTCTGACGGAGCTGGTGGTATTGCTCAACGTCATTTTACACAGCCGTATTAGTTTCGCGGCGATACCAAATTCAGACATCGCGGCATAAAGGCAACTTCTCTTCGTGCTGTCGAAAGCGGCTTTGAAATCGACAAATAGATGGTGTGTGTCGATCCTATTCTCGCGGGTCTTTTCCAAGATTTGGCGTATTGTGAATACCTGATCTATGGTGGATTTTCCAGGCCTAAAGCCAC